TATATATATATATATAAAATTCTCGAAAAGATTAAAATTATTAATATAAATTCTTTCTCTTACAAATTTGTTATATGTAATTTTAATAACGTTTTTCGAGAATTATTCTTAATAGACTTTTATTTAATTTAAGAAAAAAAACTCGTAGGAGAACGTATAAGAAAGTCGAGTTAAGTGAAAAAAATAAAGTTAAAAATAATGATATTTTGAGATAAATTAGATTCTCATATCAATGTTTTAAAAATTACAGCACAATAATAAAGAATTAGTATAAGGGAAAAATAAAGAAAATCCAGACGAAAAACAACATAAAATATATTATGCAATATTTCTTTATATTATCGATAGTTTAAGTTTTTTTACATAAATTAAGATATTAATAACAAATTAGCAACAAAAGAGACATTATAATGTAAAGGTATTCTTATTACAAATTAAAAGTTTTTTTTTTTATCCAAATTTCAAATTATATACGCAATATACAAATAATGTTTTTCTCTTCTTTTATAAACTAATTCTTTATATAAATTTACGTTAATCCAAAAAGAACATATAAATAACAGCTAAAGGAAAGAAAATATTTGATTCAATAAAATAAATCTGAGTTTGTACAGAGTTATTCATTTATTCTACTCTTAAAGTATGCTTTGTAGAAAAGAGATATAGTTAGCTGCTAATTAATTAGCCACTTATTCCGTAAAAAATTTCTTTTAAATATACTTCCCTTCATTTTCTTTCTTTTTTCTTGTCTAATTTTCCAGCGTCAATTAATATTTATATATTTAGAGTTTGATCAAATTAAGCTTTCAATGTTGAGTTTCATCTACTTATTTTTTTCTCTATAATATCGAATAAAGCGAGGATTTATATATTATTATTTATTAGTCATTAAGACTTGACTATTTAAATGTATAATTATCACGACAACTGCATTTACGTAACGCGTTTAGTCTATAATTCATAACCAATATTCCAAATCGATGTGATTGTTGCTAAATATGATAAATGCAAATGCAGCTTATTTTCCTTATTTATTGCAAACATATAAGACAATTAATATATCGTCTTTATTGATAATAAATTGTCTCTTTGTAAAATAAATAAAAACACAAAAAAAATGCAATTCACTTCTATCAGCCGTTTAATGTTAATTTGAGCAACTATCGATGTAGGTTTAATTGTACGCGTAAAAAAATACATACGATATTAAATAACCGATATTAACAAGCGAAATAAACTTAGATAAACTTTGATATTTTCATAAAGGCTGCATCAACTCTTTCAACTTTGATACATATTTAAATAAAGAAATAATTTTTTAAATTGCCTCTTTTTAATTTAAATCTTGTCTCTTTTATAAGATGCATAATAAATACATTAGCATTATTAAAAAACGCAAAACACTGTTATCAATTAATAAAGACTTGTATAAGATTCAATAAATTTTAAATTATTTTAATTCAAATAATTATTTCTATTACATAATAATAAATTCCACTAAATAATAATAATTTTTTAAATTTAAGCAATTTTAATCGTGTAATAATAATAGAAAAATAAAATGTTTTTAATTTGATTTAATCTGTAAGAATTTAAAATGGATCTAATTAAAATTTTCGCAACTTTTTTGAAAGTACTTCATAATTTTATCAACAACATAATTACTGCATCAGAGTCGAAAGAATTAAATAACTTTTCTACGATCGGCTAATATATATATATATATA